TTCTTATTTTTGACAGAGTATATTATTTTGTATAGGTGGCCCAAAGAATCGACCCAGAAACATACCACGGTGTTATCTAAAATTTCCATCGGTGTATCTGAGTTTCATTATTAATTGTCTGGAGAGAAAATGGTTAACACATGAGGCATACAATTTAAATAGCCAGCACTTTGCTTCTACCTTCCTTCCCTGAGTTTATTTGGCAACGTCAATCTATCCAAGTAAAAGCTAACCACACCAGAGCACCCACTAGCAACCCATGAACATCTCCCACTGTAACTTCGGATTTTCAAAATATCCAGACACGAGAGACACGTACAGAAGAAAAGCAAAGATTCATTCAAGTTCATCCACAGGAGACACATTTTTCACATTCATATTTCAATTTCTTTGCAAATTCATAATAATAAACTCGGAAAAGGAGGAGGAATGCCAATGGCGAGGAGAAAAAAATGATGGGGAGGATTCGACACATTCGAGATCATCACCAGGTCACGAGAGCGTGCTCCACAACTTCAGATGTGTCACGACGCGGTGGAATCAGCCGCTCCTCAATTTTTGGATGATTTATAAGTTATTGGTATCATCTTAAAGCTGTCTTGCTTTCGACGAAAAAACATACCCATCTATCTTGGATAGAAGTTGAGATAATAATATGTTGGATTGAAGGAGGTGGGGTCGCCTGGATTCAGAGGTAAAATTGGCGAAAAAATGTCTGCCAAAGATTGGTGATCTCGATGGCTTGAGAGTCATTGGAAGGTGAACATGATACTTATTTCATCATTAATCAACATTTTTCAATCAAAATCCACACACTAATGTGTCTATAAATTATAAAAAGGGCTGAGCTAATATATCATTTTGAAAACAATTTTTAATGCTGATTTTTTCAATTTCAGTATTTTGACCAGCGCCTGATTTCACCATGATACCTCATAAATACTGTCATGCCAATGCTTCTCTATAGAGCAAATATCTTAAATGTGCTGGCTCAGAAAATTAGCAGTGAAGTGAAACAAAAACTCCGCCCAGCTAAACGTGTCTGTTGAGGCACAGAGTTTGACATGTGAAGCAAGCTCTGTGACAGAAAAAAAAGTGGGACATGGTTATAATGCATCATGAACGAAAACAAAAAAAAGAACGTAAGGGTCACACAACTGGAACACAGAGAGAGAGAGAGAGAGAGAGAGAGAGGGAGAGAGAGAAACAGAGAGAGAGAGGAGGGGGAAGAGAGAGGAGGGGGAAGAGAGAGGGGGGAGTGAGGTAGAAAGAGAGAGAAAGGCAGCTTCTTTTTTTTTTTTAATTCACAAAAAAAGGGAAAAAAAGCAACAAGATTTAAATCCAGCCCTTCCCCTTTATAATCACATGTAATCATGCCGATTCAAATGATCAAAATCTTCAACACCTTTGATTCAGCGAATGTATTTATTAGTGTGTGCGCGATGGGTGTGTGTGTATGCATGTGTGTGCGTGGGG